GGCCGTGTGAAGAGCCGAGATGCCGGCCGCTCTTCGGATAGCCACGTGGGGCGGTCTGTTTGCCATACAGCTCCGCTGATGATGTGATCACAGAGGGTTAGCGCGCCGGCGCTCTATCCAGCAGCCACAGCGCCTGCCTGCCGCAGTCGTGGTTCCGCTGTGTGGTCAGTGCACCAGTGCACGGGACAGGTCACAAGTAAAATGCTTCACCGAGCTGCCTGCACGAACGCAGAAGCGTGCAGGGCGGGCCGTTCTCGGCGCCGGTGCTGTTCTACGCCGCGCCGCGGCACACAGCAGCGCACAGCGCTGTTCACAGCTAGCGAGGGTCAGGCTAGTGCGCTGCTTTGTCCTAGCTTGCACATCGCATGCGTGAGCGCTTATTTCCGTTGCGAAACAGCCGCTGTTGCGTGGCGCGTGGGGGCGTGACGCGTGCTTCCGTTCGACCGCCGGGGGGCCTCCGACGGCACACGGAGACGGCGCTATCGTGACGCATTGTCAAGACCGCCGGCTGCACTCGTGCACACCCCAGTTTGGCAGGGGGCAGAATTCCGTGTCCGAGTTCGTGTCTGAGGGCCTTCTGGTCACACTGGGGGGGGGGGGGGGGGGGATTGAGCCTTCATGCAAAATATGGGGAGAGGGTACAGCACGAATGTAGGTCATACGCCACGTCGATAACCCTCACGTGAAATTTCAGGAACATTGCGGGCGTGTTTCCCCAAAAGTATGGAAAGTTTTAGCCCTGGTCACGCGACGGCTATAATACCCGAGCAGTACGCTCCCAATCCCTGAGGCTGCCCGACTGCCGCAGTGTGCCACAAGCGGCGGGCTGCAGTCAGATTGTGCCGCCGTGTCTGCGCGCCGGCGGCCGGTCGCTATCGCCGTCACTGGCCCAGCGCGCGGCCGGCGGCGCCACAAAAAGCGCCGAATTTGGCGGAACAGATGGCTGCAGTGGCGCCACCTGGCGGCCGCCCGGCTGACAGCGGCGGCGGCGGTTCCGGGTGCCGCCCGCGTCGCCGTCCGGTGCCGACCGGGTGCGGTCGCCGCCGCCAGCGCCGCGTGAAGATTCTCCGACAAGGCAGCGACAAGCGGGGCTGATTGCGATCGCGTGGTCGGCGGCGCCGGGCTAACGACGGTTTTCAGGTCTCGTCCGGACGGCCGGCTGCCGCGGGAGCGCGCGACCGCGCGGGGCGAGGCGAGGCGCCGTCCCGGTCGGAGACGGCGGCCCTTGTCAGCGGGGCCGCCGTGAGAATTGCTCGGGAGTCGGCCGTTGTGAGAGCGTCCGTGAAAGCCGGCGGGCCCGGCGCGCGCCACCGCGCTACGTTGGTGAAACAGTGCGCGGCGGATCGCGGCCAGCCCGACCGTTGTCGTTTGCGGCGGCGCGCGGGAGGGTGGGATCGGACCGGACCGGACCGGCCCGGCGGCCCGCCCGCCCGCCCGCCCGTCCGCCAGCCGGGCGGGAGGGTCTCGCGGCCGTCGCCCCCTGCAGAACGGCAGGCGCGGGAACCTGCCAACGGGTGGATCCCTTCGAGTCAGTGGAAGGTCTCGCACCGCCGATAGGTTGCCAGCGTGCTCCATGAGAACCCAAGGCTGAAGGTTGCCAGGCCCGCGGCGCGCGCCCGCTTAGTAGCACACTAGCAAAGTGGCACGTGGCAATCATGCCCACGCGCGCGCCGCCCAGTGGGTTAACAATACCGGAGCGGGTCCTGGAAGGACTACCAGTCATCGCCGGTTTGGACCGGCAGCTAACCCCCTCAGTCCCCCACCATCCCCCGTCCATTGCGATGGCCGGTCGGCGACCCAACAGCTGGCGGTTGACGGTCAGTGGGGTCAGGCTCGCTGCTGCCCGCCCCCTCCTGCCGGCACAGCCGCGCTGATTGGCTGGGAGTGGTCCAGATCCGGTCGGCTGGGCCGCCAGCTGACCGGCAGCCACACCGCCCGCGGCCTCGCCCTGAGCAGGCGCTCTGGAATCGGCTTTTGAACATGGGCTGGTCTAACTGATACCTCGTCCGCCGTAGAGTGTGAACGCCTTTGGTGGACAGCCAACAGCGTCTCTCACGCGGGACGAAGCGGTATGAAATATCGGGCCAAGGCAGGGCCGTCTGGCACGCGGTTGTTTTTCTTTCTATGCTGCTGTAGGATCGCATGCAAGTGATAAGTATGCGGCAGACATCAGCGACCTTTGCCACAGAACTCGTCGACCTTCGGACCGTACGGCTGTATTACACGTTGTTTTGCGCGGCTGATGTAGACTTTGAGGCAGTTATTGCTGAGGCCATTAAACTGGTCAGGGCGCATCAAATTCGGACTTATCACTTCGTTGGTTCTTTCTACCCGTCAAGGCGATGAGCCAGATGATCATGGTTCGAATTCAGCCGTCCAAAACAAGCTCCATATCGCAAGGCCTACGCCGCTATAGCTGCAAGATATAAAAAAAAAACAACAACTCACAATCACCATTTTGCACACCAGACTGCCCGAGGCCGCATCTGAAGAGCGCCTCTGCAAGTCTGTCAAGTGGAAAAACGCCTCAACATACAGGCGAGCCTGTCCCTGGACGGCTCCAGTGCCGGCGAGGAAGGTCACGTGACCAGACGGTCGTGACCGCTGGCTCTGCAGCTGCAGCGACTGGCATGTAAGCCAGGCCGGTGCCGAAAGGGAGGCTTCATCAGCCTTGCAA